CTATTGCTGAGCTTGTCGAATAAACCAAAGCCGTTAATAACAAGTAGCACAGCACATACCCTCTCATGTTCACGAAAATTAAATATTAATTTATAAAACTACATTACATATATTCTGTGACTCTGTGTGCACGTTTACAAATAATTTCTAGCTATCTTCAATAACTACACGTACGTATTATATTTAATTACCTAACCGCCCTTTTAATTTCGATTCTAATTCGATGTCGGCAACGCATTCAATGATGCAATTCAACTATTAAAACTAACCAAAGCTTTTAGACCCGATCATGACATCATTCAAATTGACATCCACTTCCACATTTATTCAACAGTGTATGTTCTAAATAGCAAACCAATTTTGGTCATGCCTTTAATTGATTAATTAAAGGACTTAAAAGTCAAGTAATCCCATCATCAAATTGGACCATTTGTCAGTTATAATCAATGTTTAATTACTATTAAGAACATTAATTGTTCTACTATATAAAATATATGGACTTTCCTTTACTTATAACTTAAACCTGACACTCAGCATACATATATATATATACATGGTTTGGAAAATAATTTGATTTGAAACTCTTTTAGAAATAATTTTATTCCATGAGATTAAATTATCCTAGTCTATGGAGAGTTTACTAATTAAAGAGCATATCTACAACATTAATATTTATTTTCTTTAGTTACAATCAATTACCATGTTCATGACAAAGCAATCAAAAGAGCTAAATAAGTGGTTCATTCTCATTTCAATCAATTCGATTACTTTTTACAAATATAAAACAATCCACTCTTTATAATATTCATGTAAAAGTAACTTTAATCCCACTAAGGTAAGGTAATCACTATCACACGCACAAAACTTTGAAAAGGAAAAAAGAAAAATGTAGACGAGAATTAGGTGCAAAATTTTAGGATTAGTGTCGTTTTGTCTCATAAATAGGGTGATTAAATGTACACTTAAGTGGGGAAAATAATAATGTCTTTTCTGACTTTATCGTGGTAGATTCCATTTTACTACAATGAATGTTGAGCTTTAAACAAAACATCTTTTTACACCAAGACAATTAATGTCCCAACCTCAACTTGCTTTTTAAACTATTACCATTGCGTTTGGTGATTTGCCTCATTTGCAATAGTTAAAAAAGTATAAAAGAAAGGATTACCATCAAACCAACTCAAGTAAATTGTTAGATCATTTGGAAACAATCTCAACTTTTTCCTTTTGACCTTTTTGCGTTTGTGTGTGTGGCTCTAATGGAGACATCATTGCATTAAGCTACTGCAATTGACACGGTTATTCCAATACGACTTTATTGGTCGACCCTAAATTTAAATGTTAAAATATAAAGAGCCATATGCTTTTACTATAAGTTCTTCCTTTTGATGTGATAAGGGTTAAGTTCATGCATCTTCTAAGAGACTGTCAAGTCTCAAGTGTTTCATCAATGTATACAAATTATTATACCATTTATTTGATTTTTTTTTTTTTTTTTGAAATTTTTAGGTATTTTCAAGAGTATTTTTTTATAATTTTATGAGAATAAATAATAGTTTCTGCTTGTGGCATAGGGATTAGTCAAGGTGTTTTGATGTCAATTACCAGTTTGGTATCAAAATCCTAAATAATACAAAGTACACTACCCTACGAGTCGGGTTTTGAGTCCTATAATATAACAATATTTACTTAATAATATTGATGCTAATCTGGAAACAATCACTATAATTTCAATGGAGACTCCATCATTGTCACTAATATGCTATCTAACAACAAACAATTATCAATTTGATAGCAATATTTTACTTGCACAAATCAACTTCTTTGGATTTTATATCTTATAATAAATTCAATCAATTATTAGTAACATGTCTTTATATAATTTTAAAATGGGCCTCCAATTGAAGATGGAAAAGGAAAACCTCTTTGAAAAGATTGAAAAATACCCTTTGAATTGTTAGTGGGTCATTTTGAGATTTTGGGAAAATGTAGGGCTAATTTTGTCTAAAAATTCCCATTAAAATTGAGTTAGAAAAGGAGTGACAAATTGACAATTTATGTGACGTTTTGATTAATTATTAATTGTTATTCTCCTTACCACAAAATTAAAAGAGAAAAGAAACAATTTAAGAGTCTTAGAAGACCAATGAGTCAATGACTTGTTTGCTGTGTTATCACCGTCATCACTTTCCGTTTATTTTTTGTAGGGCCATAATAATAATAATACATAATTTTTATAGCGCTTAATGTCAAATGTATAGTAGTATGAGATGTAATATAAGTTTCCAAATTAATAAAATATCATGAGATTTTTTCAAAAAATAAAATGAGATTTTTATTTCTTTTTATTTAAAATAGTGGGTCATGTTACATTTTCTCAAGAGAATATTTTTGGAATGAAAAATAAAATAAAATTAGAAATAAACTGTGTTTAATACAATTATATTTATTTAAAAAGTCTTTTCTATATGAGTTGTAATATAAGATGCCAAATTCATAAAATATCATGAGATTCTTAAATGTTGGTTTTAATATAATTTGTGTTCAAAAAAATAAAATGAAAATTTTATTTTGTATTTTTAATATTTTCTGAAAATAATATCTTAAATATACAATTTTGGAAATAACAAAGAAAGTGTTCTATATATTTAAAAAAAAAAACTTTTTTTTTTGGTCCAATTAAATTGGTAAAGAATGTTATGAAAACCATTTTCACAAAATTATTTGTTTATATAAAATTTGATAATTCACTCAAAGCAATGAATAATTTTTCCAATTATTAAGGACATGACATGATGATGATCATCATCATTATCATTATCATTATCATTATTATTATTTTAAATTTTGTATGGCTGGTAGCCACAACTCACAATCTCCTCTCATATTAATTGCTATAATTTTTTTTTTTTTTTTTTTGTGCATTTACTTATTTATTGATGATCAATTTATGAGTAGTTATGGGTGGCTCCACCACCCAGTATATATTTTCTTTGATATAATTATCCAAAATCATCAATGTTTTCACTGATTGGCTTTCACCATCCCTCGTTGTGTTGATTATGACCGCCAAATTCTTTCAATTTTACTTAATTATTTCAAAATATGTATTTTTTTTAGTTCATCTTATGAATTATTAACTTAAAGAAATTAAAGATGAGAATGTTTAATTTCAAATGCTTTTGATTATTCATAAACCTTTTTGACCATGTCACAAACATCTCCAATTAGATAAGAATATAAATAATAAATGCCCAATAAGATACGTATATGACATATCTTAAAGTTTACAACAAGATGCCCAATCAAAAATTCCAAGTCAAAATTCATGCATTGACTCCTTTTAGCCAGTGGATAGCAACCTAACCTCAATATATATAGCAAAATTAAATAAATAAACAAATAAAGTTTTGGTCAAAATTTTACTATGAAACTTGAACGTTATATAGTTTAATTTATATGCATTATATTTATATAAATAGACCATGGTATACATGTCACCATCCAATTTTTCTATGATATTGGAATATAAATCCTACTGTTAATACAAAATATATTATATATTGTGACAATTAATAATGTAAATCTAGGACATAAAATATTAAAATAATAATATAAATGGATTGCAATGTTAAATGTTAAAGAATCATATAATTAATTTAATTGCAATCTTACACAATGTTTTGAAAAATTAAATTGTTTAAGTTGAAGAATGTATGAGTTAGGTTGACAATAAACTATATAATTAAATTCATTTCCTTTGTGATAAAAAATAAAAAATCGTTTTGGAATTCTCTAAGATAAAACCAATATAAAATTTGCTCCATCAAAATCAAATATTTTCTTCTGTATTTTGTGTATCCATTTATTTTTAATTGTTGGAATTATAACGTATTAAAAGTAACATATATTATAAGTTTATGAATTACATTTCATATTAGCAACTTATTATGTTTATTTAAATGAATCTTCCTACAATATCTTGTTGGTGCAATTACTATGACAGTTTGATTTTAGTTTAAAACATTACAACAACTATAATATTAAAATTATAATATTGAATATCACATCTCTTAGAACAAATTATGTCTATATATTGACATTTAGAGTGATATTTCAGTGTTCTAACTTCTAATCAGCTTATAATTTTAGTAAAATATAACAATATTTAATAACTTAAATTGATATTTAGAAATATGCAACAATATATACATTCTTTTTTTTTTTTTTAAATAATATTACCAGTTTATGTTAAGTTGTCACTTGACCTCAAAACTTAAACTTACTGTATAAATAATTACATATTATCATTTTCTTGTCCGCCATTTAATATCTTAATAAAAACTTAAGTTTATAGGTAAAATGATAACTTAATATGATATCAGAATCATAGGATATAAATTCAAATGTCACATTTAAGAGACCTATTAGACTTAAATATTAATGATGAATTCCTTTTTATTAACTTAAACTTTTAGGTAAAAATAATGTTGTATATTATGATGATCAAATATATATATAAAATAGAATTTTATGCTATATTATAAGAAATCGATAAGGCTATTACAACATTTGTATATATTTTTCCTACTATATTAAATTATGTGGGAAAATTTGAATTTTAATGTGCTGTATTGTAACAATAATATATTTGTGTTATCCAAGATTTTTTATTCAGGTAAAGGGGAATAAAATTAGTTGCGGATAATTAAAAAAATGGCATAAATGTAAGGAAACTAGGAAAGTAGTGGAAGGTAAAACATTATCCCAGTGGAAGGTAAAACATTATCCCGTACAAACAAAAGAAGAAAGTATTGGCAGAGAGAGAGAGAGAGAACACAAACACATCCAACTCTCCATATCTCGTTTCTCGGGCCACCCGTTCACGAACATCAAGGCCAATATATATTCTCTTTTCCGGTTTTACCCTTCTCTCTATTTTAATTATTTAATTTATTTATTTCACGTACTATTTTTATTTTTATGTAGTGTTTGCTTTGCTTCCGGAACATAGCGAAAGAGAGAGAAGAGAGAAAGAGAGAGTCCAAAAAGCTCCAAAATTTTTAATGGATGCTTCGATCTAATGCCCCTTCAGTTACAAAGAAACCTCACAGAAACAAACCCATGTAAGCAATTTTTTTAATTTCCCCAGAATTATTCTCATTTTTGCTTTTATATATTTACAACATCAACAACAATAACAACAACATGTTGTATTGATATTATTTTCTTCTGATTCATTTCTTCAAATGCAATCATATGATCTTCGATTACCTTTAATGGGTTTCCCTTTCTGTGTGCTTTAGACTCTTTTGAATCCTTTTTTTGTTGCAAAAATTTTGGGTTCGTTTTGTATTTTTAATTTAGTTTTTGAGTTGGTGTTTTGTTTAAGAGTTTTTATTCCATGGGAAGACCAGGTTCAATGGGTTTGGATTGGGATCCATGTTGGATCTCTTGGTTTTTGTTATATTGTTAAATATTATTGTGACCCTCATTGTTGTTTTTGGGTTAATATTATAAGTGTTGCTGCTTAGTCTGATCTTGGATTTTGTGTTTTGTGTTTCTTTTTGGCTTTTTTTATATATAGTTATTTGGGGTTGCTTGTGTGGAGGGAACTTAGCATTTGGAACATTTAAAAAGTTGTCTCTTTGAGGTGAGTTTCATGGGTTGAACTCAAAAAACAGTTATGGGTAACTTGAGTGAAGTCGAAGAATGCCGATTTTTTGACGCCTCTGAGGATATTGCATCAATTTCTAATGCAAGTCCTGAGAGCAATGAGATTGATTCTTGCTATGGTGGTGATAATTTGGTTGGGAGTAGTTTTCAATATGATGTTTGGGTTAGGAGCCCAAAGAGTGTTCAGGAACGGCGGAGTAAATTCTTGGACTGGATGACGGAAAGCTTAGATCAAGCATCAAGTGATAGTTTTGTAGATGCAACTAAGGTTGGTAGAATTAATGGGAGTAGTGGGGCTGTGTTGAGAGCATATGGGTTTGAAGAGGAGTTTCGGTCAAGCCGGTCTTCAATGTCATGCTGGTCTAATGATAATGTGGATTTGCTAGAGGAGAATTTTGTATGTAGAGATGGGAATTTGGGTGGGGGGATGGTGACTGATTTGGATGAAATGGGGCAGGATGGGAAGACAAGTGATGGTCAAGAAATGGACTCAGAGAACAATTGTGGGTCACTGTGCTCATTTCAGCAACACTTGGATGAGGGTGTAGAGAAGGCAGACAATTCTGTGGGGATAGTGAAGATGGTTAAAAAAGGGTGGTTAAATAGATTGCTTTCCCTATCTTGTGCTATGGATAAACAAGGGGAGGCAGAGAAATTAAGACCCAATGAAGATGATGCACTTTTATGGTCTAGGGTTCAGAGAGTGAAGGTGCGACAATGCAAGAAGAGATTGAAAGAACTTTCAGCTCTTTATAAGGGGCAAGAAATCCAGGCCCATGAGGGTTCAATATTGACAATGAAATTCAGTCCTGATGGGCAGTATCTTGCAAGTGCTGGGGAAGATAGGGTTGTGCGGTTGTGGCAGGTGGTGGTGGATGAGAGATTGAACGAACAAGACATTCCAGAAATTGATCCTTCTTGTATATACTTCACAGTGAATCATCTCTCTGAACTGAAGCCTCTCTTCCTGGATAAAGAGAAAATGAGTATATCGAGGACCCTGAGAAGAACATCAGATTCTGCTTGTGTAATATTTCCTCCAAAAGTCTTCCGGATATTGGAGAAGCCATTACATGAATTCCATGGGCACAGCAGCGACATATTGGATCTCTCGTGGTCGAAAAATAATGTATGTTATTTTTTGAAGAACATCTTCTCTGACCTCTCAAAGAGAGAAACATTTCCAATAACTCTGGCAGGAACTGAATTAGAATTTTTATTAACATTTTTTTTTTTGTTGCAGTACTTGCTATCGTCTTCAGCTGATAACACTGTTCGCTTGTGGCGAGTTGGGAGTGACCATTGCCTCAGAGTCTTTCCGCATAGTAATTATGGTGAGTTCTATCTGTGTCATGTCTTGTTTACATGGTTTTAGCTAGATTCTAATTTGAAGCGGTTTATCGTCATCTGTATCTCTTTTGTTTAGTTATACCTCATGGATTTTATTTATGTTATGATATGATGCAGTAACCTGTGTTCAGTTCAATCCTATCGACGATAATTACTTCATGAGTGGCTCAATAGATGGAAAAATTCGCATTTGGGCCATTTCTGATTGCCATGTTGTTGATTGGGCTGATGTAAGAGATATAGTTACTGCTGTTTGTTATCGTCCAGATGGCCAGGTTTGGTGATTTTCTTGCTCTTTCATCCACTTGAAATGATGTGCATGCTCCTGTTATTTAGTGGATTTCTCTAAACAGTATTCTTTATCACTCAGGGAGGAATTGTTGGATGTATGATGGGCAATTGTCGCTTTTACAGTATGTCAGGTATGCTCTTTTACTGGGTTAAATTATTACACAGTAACATTATATACCTCATTTTTTATTTTTTTGCTTCCTCTATGAACTCTTGCTTTAGAGATACAACTTTCGGAGCTAGGGTGTTTTTCCTTTTTCTTTTTTATGGGTTGGTTATTTATTTAAAATGGTTAGACGATTTTATAACTATGTGAAATGATGTCTTGCACTTATAGCTCACTAACATTATGTGGTTTCAAGAGCTACGTGCTTAATAGTTTTCAGTTTTCTTTAGGATTTTTACATCCAAGTAGAGAGTTTGGTTCATTGTTGGGTTCAATGGATCTAGATTGTTTATAGGTTCATTGAGGAGTCAATATTATGTTAGTGTAGCATTGTGGGTTTCTTCAGAAATTTATAAACCTTGTGTTAGAATGGGTTTTGGAATATGGAAAGACTGGCGGACATTCTCATTGGAAGCTGAAATTGAGTGGAAATGATATCTTGTTAGAATGTAAGCGAATATATGTATATATAGATAGATACAAGGACACCTAGGAGCAACAAGCTAATGTATGATTACCTTGGCATTAGAAAGATGTTGAGTAGCACCGTAGCCTTAATATTTGATTGTTAGGAGAGTTATCATGGGCAGTGATGTTCAACTTGACATTTGTAGTTATTAACTCTTTTTGTTTTTATTCTTTCAGACAATCACTTGCAACTGGATGCTGAGATATGCTTGCATAGTAAAAAGAAGTCCCCCTGCAAAAGGATAACTGGATTCCAAGTATATATCTCTGCTCTTCCTCTGCTCATTTTGATGCTATTGTCAATTTTATATCTGTATATTCCGTTTGTTAATATTTTAAGAAATTTTACTCATAGGGTGTCTTTTGCTGCAGTTTTTGCCACAAGACTCGAGCAAAGTAATGGTTACTTGTGCTGATTCACAAGTCAGAATCCTTCAAGGGCTTAATGTGATTGGCAAATACAAGGGTGTGTAGCTGTTTCTTTTTCTCTGTTTTCCCTCTAGACTTGGCTCATTTAAGCAAGGCAGTAATTGATAACTGATGCTATACCATTTTTAGGAACTTCTGTTTTCGCAGAATTCATGTTAATAAATTTAATCTCAATGTTGGTTAATTCTTGTTAATTCAATTAAGTATTTGTTTCTAAAATTTTCTCTTCTCTTTCCTTAGGTGTTGCAGGAAACCAGCTATCTGCATGTTTCACCTCAGATGGAAAGCATATGGTCTCTGCATGTGAGGATTCCAATGTATATATATGGAATTCTATTGATCAAGAAGAGCCTGCCACTGAAGCAAAAAATATTAGGTCTTGGGAGCGTTTCACTACCAATGCATCCATTGCAATACCTTGGTGTGGCTTGAAATGCAGGAACCCGGAGAATGAATGGCAATTTAATGTCTCTGGCGATGATTCTGCAGAAATTCTTTCATCGTTTTCTCCTGCTCGTTTCAATCTGAGCCAAGAATATTTCTTGGAGTCTTTTCCAAAGGGATCTGCAACTTGGCCTGAAGAAAAGTTACCTGCATTAAACCCATTGTCTTCAACATCTCCAATGCATAAATCCCAATATAAATTCTTAAAAAGTTCATGCCAGAGCACATCCAGTTCTCATGCGTGGGGTCTAGTTATAGTGACTGCTGGGTGGGATGGAAGAATTAGATCGTTCCACAATTATGGATTACCAGTACCTGTTTGAATTTCTTGCAGAATGGCAGTGCCTTCAGAGAGTCAGAATTCACTCCACTGTTGAGCACTTTACGCATTGAGTGCCCACTAAAATTGACATTGAATTTGGCAGTGTCAGCAGTGACAAGAAGTTAGGGTTTGAAAGCTTCATGAGCATGTGCACTTTGATTGACGTTTGAGAATTCAGGTTTGGTCCTCAGATATCATAGGCATACTGCGATAGTAGGTCATGACAGGTGTTGATGTTTCCATGGCTGTGACGTAATCCAGCTTGGTTTCAGCTAGTGGTTGAGGTTAGCTTCTCTGTATATTAGTTTAATTTTTTGATTTGGTGATTTATTGCTGGAGAGAAATTTTTGTCCGTTGGCCTAGAAGAAGATATGCAAGTCATGTGTTAGGAGAGGCCAATTTAGATATTATCTTCATATAATGGAGGTGCCTGTGGGGTTTTGTGAAATCTCTTCCTTTAGCTCTTAAAACATGAAAGTGGAAGAATTTAAAGCTGGTGGTGTGAGTTAATTTGGGGAAATCAAATGGTGGGGAACTTGGCTATAATGACATGTTGGCTGGTCTGAATCATTGAACTTTTGTCTGCCATTTCTGTTTTGCTTCATCTTTATGGTGGGGTCAGTTTCACCTGGGCTTGGTGATGAGGATATATGCTTGTATTCTGAAATGGGCATCGGCATGATTTGATTATACCGCAAGTTTCTTGGCCATTAAATATTTGAAGGCTTGACAGGGTCGAGGTGGAGAGATTTTGGGAGATTTGGATGAACATCTCAATTGGCAAACCAAGTTTTGTTCATGGAATGATGATGATGAGCAGGCACTTGACTAACTATTGAGTATTTATCTAACAGAGTTTGTGAATTTATTGATAGGAAATTAGGCTAACATGACCTTGATTTAGTTTTGATTATCAGGGCTATTGTTTTTGGTTTAGCATAGAGAAAATATCAAATTTGTTTTTTTTTTTTTTTTTATATTGTAGCACATATGTAACTCAAGTTACTAGTGTAAATAAAAAATTATTCAGTATGTATGTTCATGGCTTAAACTAAAGACATTCTCAGAACAATATATTAAGCATTTTCTATTAATGGTCTTGGACAACCATTAGCTTTATCTTTTTCTTAAAAGCAAAAATCAGGAAGATATTGTAGTTAGGCATCTAGCAAAAGCCAAATTGTTAATTATAGTTATAATTAGGTAAAGATTATAAAGTAATCAACATATTTATTATTTAATTGATATGTTTGTTTAGAATATTAAGAGGAATAATTTATGATACCATAATTTAGCATCAACTTACAAATTTTATTTACATCACCAATAAAGGTTCTTGAAATCATCTTTTAACAATATAGGGAATATCGATAGGTCAGCAAATTATCATTCTTATGTTTACTGCTAATTAAAAAATTTATTTATTGTGAAATTCTGGAAAATCATTGTGGGCCTTTTTTTAAAAATTGGTTACTTTCATTTACCCTATATATTCTTATTATAATAAGTAAAAATAATTACTATGATATTTAAAATTAGAAAAATGTAATTATTAATAATTATAATTTTTTCTTTGATATTTGAACTCAAAGAAAATGTATAAATAAAAAAAATTGATATTTTTATATTTACAACATAAACAAAAGTAATTTATAAGTAAATCTTTTATTTTCATGTCACTTCTTTTGTCATAGAATCTATAATTATGAAATCAAATAAGATAATAAAATCCTTGAGGAAGTAAGAATTATCCGAAAAACTATTCCAAGCTTGTTATTGATCATATACATGATTGGATTTTTTAAATGAATTTTGTGTTAAAATATAATAATTTAATTAAAGATAATTATTATTAATTACTAGATAGGTAAGATAACAAATCTCTTAAATAAAAGCCANTTGATATTTTTATATTTACAACATAAACAAAAGTAATTTATAAGTAAATCTTTTATTTTCATGTCACTTCTTTTGTCATAGAATCTATAATTATGAAATCAAATAAGATAATAAAATCCTTGAGGAAGTAAGAATTATCCGAAAAACTATTCCAAGCTTGTTATTGATCATATACATGATTGGATTTTTTAAATGAATTTTGTGTTAAAATATAATAATTTAATTAAAGATAATTATTATTAATTACTAGATAGGTAAGATAACAAATCTCTTAAATAAAAGCCAGAGTGGGTTTGGGACAAAGAATCTACAGTTATGATTACAAAGCAAGAATTTGGTTAGACAACAAATTGATAATTTTAATGGAGAGTGGGGGTTAATTGTAAATAAATAAAATTAGTCATAGGATACTTTTATAGTTATCTAACAAAGGTTCCACAATTAGGAGACATATTTAAAGAGACAAACCCAATTGTCTCTTCCTCTGAGCTGTAATCATGTTTCAAGATTCTTAATTTGGCTTTACCCTTAAATCTATAAAACAAAAGTACAATTATGCCTGATATTAATCACAATTATTTATTAAAACTGTTGCCAGATCTAATCACATTTTCCCCCGCAAGTGAAACATATCACATATAATTATCAATAATTAACACTAATTCATAAGTTTTTTTTTTTTTAATTATTATTTGGTTTTGTTCTTTCAACATCAGACCAACCACTCCTATTATATATGAGTTCATGTTTTAGGACATAGAATATTTATTTTTTTAAAATTTTATTTATAAACATATTAATATTTCCTATGTTCAATGGACAAACATTTGAAGACAATAATTTATTATAATCAGAGAAATATAATTTTAGGATGCAGATTCTGCTGTTAAATTAAAAATATTTCTGAACTTGCAACATGGCAGTAAAAACATTTTAAAAAAAAATTAATGATTTATAAATTTGTATACATGGCTTGATGTGCTATTATTCCTTTATTACAGATATGATTATATTATATTATCTTATTTATATATTTAAATTATTTTATTTTAAAAATGAAATATATATATAATACTATTTTTAATCTTATGCTGGTCTGGTGTAACTCCTGTTTTCAGGAGTTAATTTTGGTGTCCTTTATCTGTTCCTGCTGCTCTTCTTTTGGTTGTGAAGAGCTGCTGTTTAGTCACCTGGCTGATTTTTGTGGTGCTCATGGGGTGTGGTGGGAAGTGTATAGAGTTTAAATCCTAGCTACTTTGGGTTTGCTTTTGTTCCGGTGTCGTCCCACTTTTGTTTAGGGTTGCGTTGGTTCGGGTTTGTCCCACTTAGATTGTAATTTTTTATTCTTTATAAAATTATCATTTACCCAAAAAAAAATCTTATGCCTAATCTATATGGTAGGGGAATACTTTGTATTTTGACCCAAAAAAGTTAATGCAATGAGCCCACCAACCAATGGATACATTGTGTCATCAAATAGCCCATATGCTTGATACCCATAAGCCATTGATTCCTATTTGTATATACTATTCATCTTTATTTGTTTACTTCAACTATATCTATTTTCAAAGTTCTATTTACCATATATTAAATAATTTATACACATAATATTTATTTTGAATCTTATGCATAATTTCTATGCTATGCTACTTCTATTTTTACCCAAAATATTCATGTAGCCGTAAATATTAAATAAAGCCTTAGGCCCAAAGCTCCCAAGTCCAAGAGAAATATCAAATAAAGTGATCTCAAATGTACCCTACTAGGGGTGAGCACGGGTAGCAGGTAGAACCGGAACCTACGGATAGAACCGGAATCAGAATCGAAACCTACTCGGAACAGGCACTGTGCGGGTAGGTTTCGGTTCCATTTTATTGGAACCGACACTGTGCGGTTTCGGTTCCAGTTCCGGTTCCGGTTCTTGTGTGTGGAGAACCGGAATCGGAACCTAGAAAAAGAACCTAAAATGGGTACCCTGTTTGGAACCTGTAGCAAATATCCGGTTTAGAACTTGTTAGGAACTTGTAACGGGTACCTAGTTTAGAATCTGTTTGGAACCTGTTTTGGAACCTGTTTTAGAACCTGTTTAGAACCTGTTTTGACACCTGTTTTAGAACCTGTTTTGGAATCTAGACTGCAATGCAATAGTTGTGAAATGTGAATAATGGGGGGTTTCTATTATTTTACATATAAAAAAATTTAAAATAGAAAAAGTTAAATTTTTAGAATAACCTAATTAAATAAATATGCAATTATACTTATTACATATAAATTATACCATATTAAAAACTATAATATATTAATATTAATGTTTTGATTAATTAAGTGAATAATTGGAATTATGATCCAATTAAAAGTGTTTTAAATTTTTAATGTTATTAAAAGAATTATTTTGAATAAAATAGTGTATTTGATTGAATAATAATATATTTAGTTATTTACTTCAATTATCAAGTTTTAAGTATATCTATAGTAAATTAGCAATTAATTAATTATATATGATAAATTGATAAACATTAATAAATTTTATTACTAGTTAAATATCATACTTAATCAGTTATAACATTATATTATAGTTAAATGATTAGTTAATTAATTATAATTTTATAACATTACTTAATTGATTTATAGTATAATTAATTATAGCATTACATTAATTGATTATTACTTAATTAACTAACTTATAAGTTATAGCATTTAGTACATTACTTAATTAAATAATTAAAAATTTAACTAATTATAACATTACATTATAGATTTATAGTATAATTACTTAATCAATTAAAACATTTCATTATAAACATTAGTATAAACTTAATTAAATGATTAAAAATTTAATTAATTATAATATTATATTAAAGATTTATAATATGATTACTTAATTCACTATAACATTATATTATAGTATGATTACATAATTAATTATAACATTACATAATTAAATGATTACTTATTGATTATGACATTATATTATAAATATTAGTAATTACTAATTTATTACACAAACATTAGCACAATACTTAATTAAATGATTAGAAATTATTAATTACACATTACATTATAATTTTATAGTACGATTACATAATTAATTGTAACATTACATTATAATTAAATGATTATATATTTAGTTATAACATTCTATATAACAAATTATTAATATAATATTAAGATTTATAGTAGAGGTGGGCAGGGACCAGTCATAAGCAGGCTTGGGCCTGGGCCTGGGACCGGGCCCAGGCCATGACAAAATAAGGACCCGGACCGGTCCTTAGGACTAGTCCTATGGGCCTGGACAATTTTTCCCCCAATCTTTTTATATTTTGGGGGTAAAACGAAATTTTATAAGGGGTTTTAGTATTTTGTAGCGTAGATTGTGATTTAAAAATTTAATTAATTTAAAAAAATATAAAAAAATAATAATTAATATTTATTTTAATTTTTAACATAATTCAGGTTTAACCCATTCACGCTTCATAAATAAACAATTAAACAATTAAATATTTTTTATAATTAAATTATTCATTTTCATCGTCAACAGTATTTACATCATTCAAATCAGTATTATTAAGATTTCGAGTAGTGTGCGGATCTTCAGGTGCTGTCTGTGTAGTCTTCTTTCTACATGAGTCCAATCCCGTAAATACGTTATCACTTCATCATCCATCGGTTAAGAACATCTTCGTCTTCAACAATCCGACCACTCGTTGAAAATGTTGACTCGGATGCAATTGTAGAAACCGTTACGATAAATGTCACATGCCATTTGGGCTACAATGGGGAATCGCATTTCATGTTGGTTTCACCACTGAAGAATATCTATATCATGTTGCTCTCTCTCATCGTCATAGAATCTCCACTTGTAGGTAACGATTTAGCTCATTTGGTCCATGTATGTATGAGTTGGAGCTGCTACTTCTGCCACTTTCCACATATGTCCACTTGCTCGATCTTTGACGGAGGGCTACATAGGTCCAGATCCTCTCTCCTAAACGTTCGACTTCCAATTCCACTTTACATGTTCTCATATAAAGAAAAAGGCTCTCCAATTTTTGTTTAAAGTTAGTCAAATAAGATGTATAATCATGTCCTAAATGATGTCTATCTCAGTAATTATACAGTTACTACGTGTAATTTAAACC